ATGTTCCTTCCTAGTATGCATGATTGTTATTATTGTTATTATTGTTATTAACAATGAATTATTGTCGTCATTGGCATCAGTACATTCCAAACTTTTAATGAATTCATCATTGTAATTAAAAAGAACATCAACATAATTACCACCCTATAAATCTCTCCAAGTTAATCTTGAAGCTCTTAATTTAATCATGTATAAGTATCATATAATTCAAATGAATTTAATATTTTTGGCCGTCCAAATGAGTTTAATTAAAGCTATCAAATCGATATAAAAAGGCCCTTTCATTTCCTTAAAAGAAAAGAAAACATGAATAATGCATATGCCACTTGAGCTGCAAGACCCACACAAAAATATATGTTGAGTATTCCTCACTTATGTAGTCCCAACTTGAACCATCAATTTGTTACTTAAGTTTGAAGCGACTTCTTTCATCTGTTTGTTTGTGGTTTCTTCTTTTTCTAAATTAGAACAAGAGCATATTTCATGCACTTTGATTAGTTTGATATTTATATTAAATATATATATATATATATATAATATGCCATTAAATTTTATAAATGTTATCAATCACTTTCAATTTGAAAATTTAACGGTAATCACAAAAGCACCATGAGTCTCATGATTTATAAATTTGATTAGTATTATTTGATGAAGAAATTTTGTAGCCATAACATTACTAAAATTTAAAGTCTCCATTGGTTGTGGTTCAATTGTGAAAGTATAAACAATCTTATCTTAAAATGGATCTCAAAATTATTGTGTAATATAAAATGAATAAATACATATTAAATTATGATGTATAAAGTGAAATGAGTTCAGTTATTAATCTTATTATATGAGATAGTAAGATTCTATTGTTATGAGATAAAATTGATTATGTGGATGCTCTATCTAATTTCTAAAGTTGTGAAAAAAAAAAATTAAAATCCTGAGTTTGAATTACTACCCTCACACAATTAGAGAAAAATCATTAAACACCATAACAAGATTTTAATATCAAAATAACCATTAATGGAGGAGATTCAACTCCTCACATTTAAGGGGCCCTTCGTAGTTAATGATTAGACTCTGATCGACAGCCAAAAAAGCATTTTTGCTTTTATATTCTCCATTTTTGGTGAGATGATTTGGTCTCTCTTTATCTTAATTTTTTATTTTTTTATCTTAAATTACACAATTAAAATAATTCTCTCATATTTTTTAATTTACCTACTCATATATTATACAATTTAAATTTAACTTTTTATTTTTATTTTTATTAAAAAAAATTACCATTAAATCCATTATCTTATTAGACTCTTTATCTCATACTTAAAAATACAGTAATAAATTTCATCCCTTGATAGGGTAAGGACGCTGTAAAAATAAATGAAAGAAAGACCCAACAGGAAATGGCCACATCATCATCATAAAAACACGTGGCACAAGATGAAAGTATCACTAGAGAAGAGATAAAGGGGAAGACTAACAATACAACAAACGGCCATGATGTCTTGATCCATGTTTTCACAATACTCAAAACCCTCCAAAGCCAATACCAGAACTAAAACAAACCTACTCAATTCTTCAACTTCCTCTGTTTCTTGGTTTCTTCTTTTGATTAAGGTTCCTCTCTGTTTCTCTCTTTTGGCGTTTTCCATGGCGGATGGTTCATACGACGAGGAGTGTGATTACCTCTTTAAGGCTGTCCTAATTGGTGACTCGGCTGTCGGAAAATCAAACCTTCTGTCCAGGTTCTCCAAAGATGAATTTCGATTGGATTCTAAGCCGACCATAGGTGTCGAATTCGCTTATCGGAATGTTAGAATTGCAGACAAGATCATCAAGGTTCAAATATGGGACACTGCCGGCCAAGAAAGGTTAGTCATCAGCTTTCTTTGTCGCCCTTTTATAGTCATTCACTGCAACTGGTATTTGTTTGGCATATGTTTCTTTTTTTTCCCCTCTGGATATGAATCAAGTTCCAGAACTTTGCTTTTCTGAATCACTGGCTGATGATCATGAATTATATATATTGATCATATCTTTGCTTTTCTTTTTTTGGATTTAGCCAAATGATCATATCAAAACTGCCAATCTAACTCACTTTGATTCATGTTTAATGGTATCAATCATGAACTAATTAATCCTAAAAATTAGATCTATTAATAAATAAATATTGTTTTAGGTTAATGTTGAAATCTTAAAACTAGCATCAAAAAAATAATTAATTATTTCACTCAAACATGACCTATTTAACAATAGTCTCCAAATCTTAGATGACCGTCAATAGCTACGGTTAGATATTTTCTCTACATGGAGTACGCGAATGGATATGAGTTACACTTA